TGGTCACAGAAATATCTTTAGTTAGGAGGAAAATACTGGTGGGGTGAGGGAAAACCAGAGTGCTAGGCACGTGAGCCAATAAACAGAAGAGCTGGTGGAAGACAAGTAATTCTTACAACTCAAAGGAGAAATGTGTACTCCACATGCAACACCTTCTGTAGCTGACAGGCACAAAAGTGAACTATAGTGAAACCTGCAAAAGCCACAACCTGTGTAAGGCAGGCACCTGTCAGGAAAAACTCAAGTATTTTCCACTGAAACAAGCGGTAACAGTGATAAGACTGCACCCTGTCAAAGGCTTAGAACTTGTGAGACTTGGAGCAACAAGGAATTTGGTCAAGTTGCGGCCCTCACAGGTCTTGCTGTACGCGGGTCAGGCAGTGCTGGTTCAGAGGAGGAGCTGGAAAGGACAGGAAGTCACAGGGGAAGGAATGAAATCTCTTGGTGCATCACCGACGGGGACTCTGGCAGGGTCTGAAGAGCTGTCAAGGGTGCCTACAGGTGCCTCTAGGGGTGATGCAAAGTAAGGAGGTCCTTTAAAAAATCCCATTTGCAGGCCTGGAAACTGACTGACATCAGTGGCTGACAGCTAAGGCTGGCCGCTATTTTGTATGCCCAATGGGCCTGGTGTGTGTTCGTACAGAAGGCAAACCAGGTAAAGGGTGGCAGAGAGAGGCTAAGGAGGACAGACCAGGAGCAGATAGGAAGAGGGCAGACTGGGGGGAGAGGGGGGCAGGAAAAGGAAGCTCACGCAGCGCGTATCAAACCCACAGGGGACCCAGGTGACCTTCCTGACAGAAAGGTAAGGGGGAAAGAGAACGCGTGTCCTCTCCCAGTGGTCCAGTTTCTGTTATATTAGCTGCTCCTGGGACGTCTAATCTTCCTTTTCCGTGTTTTCTAAGTCCACAGCTTTTGGGTGCCTTAGAGGGATTTATGGATTAAAATTATGTCTTCCGTCTGGCAAGGACCGAGTCTTCTCACGGAGCCAGCAGCAGTGTCACAGGTGCCCGGTGTGACGAGCACTGCTCTGCAGAAGGGCTTCTGCCCCTTGCTGGCCCATCTCCCTTGGAAAGGCCACTTTCTGGAATAACTCACAGCAACGACTCACACCTGACAGGACAGTGACACTGTATGTTTGTCTGATTCTTCAGACCGTCAGAAAACCTCTCTTGGCCACCCCACTCCCACCATCTGTAAGCAGATGTCAAAAAAAATCTTCATTTTATTAATCACTATATTAAAAAAAAATCTTTTGGAGATGTAATTTCCTAATTTCCTCTTGGAATTACAGGAGCTGTCCAAGAATATTATGTAATCAGGGTTTTGTGTGTCAGTATCAGGAACCACCATGGTTTACTATCCTGGAGACGGAGCTCCCAATGAGGGCAGGATAACAAGTGAGCCCCAAAGCTTGCCGACTGACCAAGCGGGTTTTTAAGTGAACATGGCAGAAGAGAAAGAAGCGTGTCCACCTGAGGCTCGTGGGACGTGCACTGCTCTGGAGGACATCTGCTCGGACTTTACAGAGAAGGGCTGCGGGTGCCCAGGAAACTTCAGAGTAACTGGGAAGGGGTCTCCAAAGTCTGGTACCAGTGGACAGTATAGGGGCACTAAGTAAAAGGAATGAGTATTTTTAGACAGAAAGACGGTGGTAAATCAGCTGAGTAAGTGGCGATTTGTGTTCGGAGTGGAGTCAAATACTAGAGAAGCGGCTCAGGGGAGCTGAGCTCACGGAAACCCCAGAAGAAGGTCATCGAGAGCCGTCGCAGGCTTTGTGATGGTCAGTTACTCAGAGTTCGGGAAAGGAGATTTATTTATTTTTCTATTATTACTATTGTTTCTCAAACTCTTTATTATGGAAAATTTCAAATATGTACAAAAGGAGAGAGAGACCAGTGCAGGGAACTGCCCCTGCCCCTTCCGTCTGAACAAAGGGATTGAGGCAGGGAAGCTCCGGGGGCTGTGGCCTCAGTCTCAACCTCACTTCAATTTCTCACTATCACCAGGGTACCATTTAGGGTGCAACAATTGGCCATTTACTTATTTATTGTTTTAACTTAAAAAAATTTTAATTATTAATTTTTATAGTGTTCCCTGGTGAAACAATTGTTTAAGACAGCCTTTAAAAGGCAGAATTAAATCTGCCTTAGACAGGGAACACTTGAAAACAGCAAACTGGAACAACAACAACAGAAAAAACTGTACAGGACAGAGTAGAACCACCTGATGGGGTTTCCAAGGCTGTAAATTTTCACAAACTGTCGCCTCTCTCTCCTGTGGAGCAGCCAGTGGCTTCGAACAGCCGAGTGCCACCAGGGCTCTTCAGCAAATTGGGCAGTGAAAAGAAATGTCTGATGGTCACACAGAGAGAAATCTGATCAAGAGATTTCATTTTGTCAAGTATTTATCTTAGCCTTTCGTATCTGAACTGTGCTTACCATAACCAAATTGTTCGTGGGGACACATTCTTTATCAAAGAACTGCAGCTGGTAAATTCAGGAGGGGTACCATTACAGAAATCACCATTTTATAGCCCTTAATGAAATAAGGGATCTACGCAAGCATCATCAATGGTTGCTGGAACCATGAGGTGTACGGGAGATGGGAGACTTTATTAATCGACTGACCAATCTTAGTAACACTAGACGTGGCCAGTCAGACAGAATGTGCCTCCAGACAGGATGCAAAAGGAAGCCTGCAGCACCACCTTCAAATGATCTTGCCAGGGACAACTTCATAGCAGTCTCACCGAGTCTCTGGGTCACGTGACCCCCTTATGGAAAATGCAGGGGAGCTACAGGAACAAGTTACAGATACCACAGATTAATGCAATGTGGGATCCTGGACTGGATTCTGGAACAGAAAAAGGACATGAGTGGAAAAACTGGTGAAATCCAAATAAAGTCTGTCATTTATTACAAATAGTGTTGTACCAAGAATCCCTGGTGGTACAGTGGCTAAGTGCTCAGCTGCTAACTGGAAGGTCAGTGGTTTGAACCCACCAGCCACTCAGAGGGAGAAGATGAAGCAGTCTGCTTCCGTAAAGATTTACAGCCTTGGAAACACCATGGGGCAGTTCTACTGGGTCCTATAGGGTCGCTATGAGTCTGAATTGACTCAGTGGCAATGGGTTTGGGGTGGTGAGGTTTTTTTTTAGTGTTGTAGCAATGTTAAGTTCTTAGTTTTGACAAATATACCATAGTGAGTAAGATATTAACATTGGGGAAGCTGGGTGAAAGGTATGTAGGAACTTGCTGGACTATCTCTGTGACTTCTGCTACTCAGATTATTCCAAAATAAAAAGTTTATTTAAAGTAGTATCACAGAAAGCCATTAGTCAAATACAGAATACAGGAATTCCACAGGACAAATAACTGGATTCTTCAGCTATTATAAATGGCATGAGAACAATAACAAACAAGCAAAAATAAAATAAAATAAACTCAAAGGAAGGAAAATTTATTAAATAAAAGAACAAAAAGCTCAAGATATATTAATCAAATACAATGTGTGGATCTGTTTTGATCCCAGTTCAAACAAACCAACAGTAGAGACATTTTTCAGACAACTGGGGAAATGTGACTATGGAGAGGACATTATGACATGAAGGAATTACTTTAGCTTGTCAAGTATGATAATGACATTATTGTATAGTTAAAAAAAAAAAAAAAAAGTCCGGAAAGACTTATGGGTAAATGATACGCTGTTGAGAATCTTTTTCAAATTTAACAGGCACTGCCTACCTCACCGCCCCACCCCATAAAAAAGGACCTCAGGAAGGAGAGAGAAATGAAACAGGATCAGAACTGTGTTAACAACTGTTGAAGCCAATGGCGGGTACGTGGGAGCCCATCCCAGATTTCTCTATTTTTTGGTATGTTTGTAAGTTTCCATAAGAAATTTAAAATTAGTAAAATAAGCTTCACCTTGAGAGTCACCTCAGCTTATCATTTTTTCCTACAGGCATAAAATGTCCCCCTCCCCAGTGTCAAAGATGTACCATGGGAAACTCGCCTGGATTCCTCAGAACTGTCACCTTGAACTCTGACCAAAATGCTGGCTGTTTAACAGTGAGCTCTAGATTGTTCCCTGCATCAGACCGTGGCCCAGTGCGGGCCGCTCTAGAGCTTCCCGGGCCCTGTGCGCTAGAAATCCCAGGCCTCTAGAGCCGTACCACTCTACCTCCTTTCCTGGTAGACAGGAGTCTACCAGTTCCTATTCAGATGCAACCTTTTCCAAAGGAGCTTTTGTTGTTGGCTAAGAGGAAGTGGACCTTTCAGATACCAACCAAGAGGAGAGCCAGGAATGGTAGCCCAGAATCAGGTACTATGAGAATGGTGCAAAATTTCTCTACTTCACAGACTTCCCCACGCTTGCCATTTCCTGTTCCTGACCTAAAAAGGCCAGTAACGTGAAAGGGCTGGGCATGTTGACTTTCAGGTGCCAAGGCGTGTTTCTGTGGGTGTCCGTCAGGTTTAAAAAAGGAAGGGAAGGCGCGCCAGACCTCTGAGGCTCAGGAGATACAGAGAGGCGCGGCGGGAGCCAGGTGAGTGTCTGAGACAGAACCTGGGGACTGCTGAGCAGGGGACCCAGGTGGTTCTGCTCTGGGCCTCTGTGAGCAAGGTACTGTGGGTAGGACAAAATTTTAGGGGCACACGTCTAAGAATACACGCTTAAAAGATGTCTGAAATGAGAGCAGGATGCCAACATTTGGTGGTCACTGCAGAAACATCACTCAGTCCCTCGACCTTTCACGATTCTCAAAGGTAACAACAGGTCTGGGCTGCAGAGCAAGGCTCACAGCCACAGCGAGGCTGCCCACAGCATGCTGGAGCCTTCCAGAGGTAAGCAGGGAAGAGAGGAGGAGGAAGGAAAGAAAGGCAGCATGCAGGCCCAGCGGGGAGACGGTGGGCACTGTCCACACAAGCAGAACCGCAGAGGCAGCCTTCCTGGGGCCACTCCGCCTTCAGCTGCTGCTTCTGTCCCCATGATGAACCCACCCTTGGCATTCCCAATCAGCACCCACTTGCACCCTGCACAGTCGGCCACAACAAGGCCTGACAGTAACACACAACTTCTAAGAAGCACTGGGTGAGATGGGCCACCAGAACCCGCTGTAGAGGCTCATGGGTACAAGCTGCTCTGATAGCCACCCTGGGGCCTGACAAGCTGGTGAACACCCAGCATACCCAATGCCATGGTGCTTGTTTCCAAAAGTCAGCCAGCCTCACCTGGCCCTCTCAACTGGAACATACGATGTGGTTGCCTTACAGCAGCCCTTCCTTCCTAAATATGGCTGCCTTAAGCCCAAAATATGAAAACTGACTTGTATTCCTTAACTACCCAGCAGCTGGGTAGGGGGTGGGAGAGATGATGGTCCAAGTTTACCCTGGCTTGCTTAGAGAAACTGTCCAAGGATTTAAAATGTGTCATGAGTAATCTGCATGACAGATAATCTGTCTGTGACAACTAAGAGGTGACTACATTTATAAACCCGATGGGCCTCTCTAGTCTCATAGGGCTGCTGTGAAGACAAGCAACATCATGTTCACACGTGCTTGAGAAAAAGAAACATAGCTGACCTCACGTTGGTATTGTTATTTTCACATGGTTTTGCTCCCAGGACTCAAGGTACTTTTCTTTGTAGCACTTCAGCCCACACAGTGGTTACCAGAGGCAGGCAAACGGAGGAAGCAAGATCCAAGATCCCGCCTCAGGTACACAGAGTTGCTGAGAACGGAGGGTGCAGAGCCCTGTGTTCGACCCCCAGGCGTGCTGCCCACATTCCGTTTTGTCCACACACTGACCTGCCCTCTTGTTAACCAGAGAAAGGAACTCACCAGACAAACAGCAGAGACCTGAAAGCTTAAGGAAGGGAAGGCCAGGGAGCAGGTCAGCTGAAAGTAGATATTCCTAAAAATGAAAACAAGCCTTTCTCACTGGTTACAATTCAGTATTCTGAAGTGGGAAGGAAGTGCATGAGATTCCGGAAGGAACAAATCAAAAAAGGTGAAAAGATAAAGGCCCCTACACGGTCAACTATCAGCATTTGAGGACAACGCAATTCAGCTTGTACATCACATGCTACGGGCAGTAAGGAGAGGCTGGGCTGGGCAAAACCAGACGGATTATGGCCCGCCTCTCAGAGGGCCAGTCTGCCAGCGTGGTCTTTGCAGTCTTGCGGGGAGCAGTGTCTCGGGTTCCACACTTAGACCCCTTCCATGGCTCTCTCCAATTTGCTAGTTCTACAATGGAAAAGACGTTTTGATCAGTTTTACCATTTAGATTCTGAAAACCCCAGTCAGGCTCTGAAAATCTCTAAATTGGGGCCTTTCTAGTAATGGCGATTGGGAGTAATTATAACGTCACAGGCAATCGGGCTGACAAAGCAAAAATGCCACCTCTCTTTGCCGGGCCTGTGTTCTCGGGCTGACCAACAGGAGGAGAAAAGAGGCTTTGTCAGGAGCAGATGTGCAGTGGGAGGCCCAGGAAAGCAGATCTGTTGAACGAAGCAGGTGCCACTCATTCACTCACTCTGTGCCCTCCAACCACAGCCTCCCCTTCATCTGCTACCCTGCCCTTGGCAGGAGGACGGAGAGAGCATTGCACAGAAAGGAAGCATGTTTATCCTGTTCGGATGACGGCCCCTGCCAGGCTGCTGGCCGGTTCTGCACATTTGCTTTTTATTAAGCAAATGTTAGAGCTGGGTGCTGGGAAGCGAATCACTGTGTTTTACATAGGTAACCTGAGAGCCGCTGCGGCTGTGATGGTGAGCTATTAGAGTTAATAGCAGTGCACGGACATTCCTTCAAAATCCTAATGGAAGCATAAAGAGAAAGCGGCAAGTCCCCTTTACGTAAGAACCTTAAAAACTTCATTCTGTAATCATTTTCCCTGTCCTGATACTCTGGTTCCTGTGTGAACCGGGATTAATCCCCTTTTCACATGCGCAATAAAAATCCACTTTGTACATCCACGTAGTCAGTAGAAATGACTCCTTAAATGTGTCCAGGTTCTGGATTTGGTATGGGGGTGAAAACAAATCACGTCACAGACTATTACCTGCAGTGACAGGCACCAAGATTCTGCCTTGGTTACAAGCAGCCGGAATCATCTAAGACCAGAATCTATCTTTCGAACACAAAGGTTCAGAAAGATCTGGGGACCTAGGGAAGAGAATGAGAGAAGGACACTTGTAACATGGCCTGGAGGACACGGGGGATGGGGAGGGCCGGGCCTGCTCAGTAGCGGCCATCTACCTGGCCGGCCTGCCAGAGGGGGCACCTTCCTGGGACTCTGCCCTGTAGCTGTGCCCTGAGCCCTCTGCTCAGACTGTTCCTGGCTCAGATCGCTGTCCTGGTCACACACCAGGACACATGCTTGTCATGTCTCCCCACACTGAGAAGAGCTGACCCATTCAGGACAAGGAGTAATGAAGGAATGCCAACCCAGCTTGACAGTGCATGGTGACTCGCACTGGGGCTAAGGAGCCCAAGAAACTCAGGAAAGGATTTGAAGGCTCCATGCTAAGGACATGCCATGGCTCAAATGAGAACCGAGAACGGGGCTGCAGAAAGCAGCCGCCCCTCCACTCTGGAGGCCTCTGTGCTCACTCGTGTTCTGCAGTCTCAGAGCAGCACAGGCCTCATTAGCAACTCCTTATGTGGAAATGATGGGTGTGCAGTCTCGCCAGCTCACCCAGGTAGGGGACATGGCATAGCCCCTTCCTGATCTGCAGATGTACAAGGAGAAAAGTGAGGTGAGACCCACCAAGACAGGCAGGAAATATCTTTGCAGGAGGCACAGGAGGGCACCTGAGATCCTGCTAACTGGACACCCCTCCAGCTTTGGGGCTGTGTCTGATGAGTGACAGGAAAGCCTGGTCATTCTAGGGAGTGAGTCTTAGTGTTGTCTGTCCCTTCATACCTGAGGCATAATAGCTTCCATCAGTAACTGAGGCTCCCAGAAGCCGGGGCTCTCTGTGTGAGCTGTGCCATCTCCTTCCTTCAGTGGAAGCTAACAGACTGAGTCCCTAAGAATGTAGCCTCAAAGTGCTGAGAGCAGGCCTGTGGAGACCAATCTGTGTGAGTGCCTAGGGACGGCAGGGGCAGCAGCAGCAGCAGCTAAAGCGCGTGCATGCTCTCCATGCCCTGGGCACTAAACGGAGAAGAAACACCTCTGCTTCCTTCACAGTCACTGCTGTCAACACACCTCCCCAGACGGGGACCTGTGGAGTTAGAACAACTGCCACTTCCTTCAGAGAGTCATTCTGGAAAGTGCCATCAAGTTCATTCCGACTCATAGCGACCCCCACTGGGTTTCCAAGGTGGTAAATCTTTGTAGAAGTAAACTGCTGAGTCTTCTTTCCGCAGAGTGGCTGGTGGGTTTGAACCGTCACACTTCTGGTTAACAGTCAGATGCCTTAGGCACTGCACCACCAGAGCTTCTTTTATACACACACATGTATACATATATGTGGAAGCTCTGGTGGGTTAGTGCTTAAGGCATTTGACTCTCTAACCAGAAGGTTGGCGGTTCAAACCCACCAGCCACTCCTTGGAAGGAAGGTTGGGCAATCTACTTCTGTAGTGATACCACCTTGGAAACCCAAGGACGGGTCACTATGAGTCGGATCCGACTCGAGTTTGGTTTTTATACATACATTATATATATGTATATATAAATAAATTTATTTTTGGTGGCTATATACACAACCAAACATATATCCATTCACAATTTCTACTTGAACAGTTCAGTAACACTGGCTTCATGTATTACACCGTGTCACCATTCCATCTCTACCATCTTGTTTTATCACCATTAATGGAAGGCACTCAGGACTGCAAGTGGTCATGATGAAGGGACAATAGAAAGAGGACACACTCTGGGAGCAAAGAATCTCTTCCTGGCTGTCTCTGTCCTTCCCTTGCTCAATGCAAGGAAAGGGCTGAGTGCCCATGGGGCGGAGAACTGCTTGCCCCTTTGGCTGTTCCAGAATCAAGAGCCCACCACACACCTCCACGCCCCCCACTGCTCAGCAGCAGCCATGCTTCACTGGGAAACCTGGAGGCTATCCAGCAGTGGTGGCTCATTTCAGCCTTGTGACAATCAGGCTCTGGATATTTGATCCTTTCGGAGGTCATGATAAACCCACTAGCATGCCTGGCCTGCGGATGCCAATGGCAGAGATGGGAACTTTGCACTTGGGGGAATCTGAGTGGGATATGCAAGCGGCCCGGATCATGAAGAGACTAGGAGCTTCTCTTGCGCACGCTCTGTGGGGCATAAAACTCAGCCGGGTTCTTCTAGCGTCTCCTGCCCAGCTGCCCGCTGGCTGTGGATTATTGCAGTCACATGGGCAGTGCTTTTAGCAAAGCGGTGAGTCCGAGCAGAGAAGGTCACTGGGAGACACAGCTCAGAAGCACTCGTGCTGCCCTCCCATATGCAGAGGGGGCAGTCTGTCAGGAGAGCACAGCGTTTATCCCAGATCCCCTCCTGCAGTGCTGGGCCGCGTGCTCCACTAGCTACACATGTCCACTTAAATGGAAGCGAAAGACAATTAGACGGAAAGTTCAGGTCCTCAGGCCATGTGTGGCTACTGTGATCGCAGAACTGAATTTTTAATTTAAAGTCATTTGCATTTAAACAGAACCAAGAACAGGCAATGCCTCAGTTTGTTCTGACTGAGACTATCCTTGACCTCAGGTTCCCTAAAAGTGTCCCTTGGACCAGGGGAGTCAGTCAGAAGGAAGTCCATTTACCTTGCAGGAGGGCCCTAAAACCCATGGCTAATGTACTACACACTTTTTGGGGACTTGGGACTCAGATCTGAACTTCCCATCTCTGGATTAAAGGCCCAAGTAGTGTCACAGAATGCAACAGCTCTTTTAAAGCTCTTGTGTTATATGGTGTCTGGAAATGCACTATTCTTACAATAATACCTTATTCCAAACATTTACTTATATTAACTTTAGTTAAAATACTGAGGCAGAAAGAGATGTCATGCACAGCGGAAGAACACATCAACACCACTTTGCAGAGCAATGCTGACAACTTT